ATGCCGTTGGTCCTTCCTCCGGTTGGGAGGCCTTTTTCTCCTCTGAGGTGGATTGAGGGTCGGCTGCTACCCGACACAGAGGGCTCAGCCCGTCGAGTATTGTATCGACCGAGGACTAGTAGTTCGGCTAGCTCATGTCGATCCTGGTGTTCAGACACCCCGGCGGGGCAGTCGCCTCGGGAGGGACCTCCTGCTTGGGGGCATGCTTGTTGCACGCGTTGTGTTAGGTATTCTAGACGATCGAGGACTGCTTAGAACTACTCGTTTGTAACCAGGTTCTAAGTGTTCCTGGCTCTTCGTACCATGGTGTCTGAAGCCAGGGAGACTTTACTTCTTAATGCTTTAGGGGATCGTCTTAGCAACATTTCCCACAGACGGTGCCAATTGTTGATTCTCAGATTGGCCGAGGACAACAAGGTAATTTCGCTCTCGAGCTTCGGTGAAGATGGCCGAGGACTCCGAAGGGGGGAAGCCAAGGCCAGGGATTGTGTCTGAGGTGGTAAGTCTCTTCAGATATTATTGGAGCCGAGGACTGGCACCGAATGCTATGTGCAAAGGGTAGGAATGTTCATAAGAAGACCCAAACCGACCAACCCGGTCCGACCCAACCCGAGTCAGTCATGTTTTCTTTAGTGTCGGTCGGTTTCGGGTTACTAAAAAGCATAAACTGATGGGTCGGTTCGGTTTTGGTTTCCACACATGAAAACCAAAACCGAACCGACCTGAACCGACTTAGTTCCTAGTTAGTACTTAGTAGTTAGTACCTAACTTAGTTTCTACTTTCTAATTACTTATAGTTAGTTATAATTTCTACTTTCTAGTTACTTATAGTTACTTATAGTTTCTACTTTCTAGTTACTTATAGTTACTTATAGTTTCTACTTTCTTGTCTTCTCTTTAGGAATGCCATTAATGGCAAGTATTACAAGACAAGGAATACCATTAATGCCATTAATAGCTTCTTGCATTTTTTTGGAAGGTTTAAAGAAAGGATCCTATTCTCTAAGGTCCTTTACACCAAATAGGTAATTACAATTAGGTGTCTTTTTTACTTAGATTATGAGCCTTCTTAAAAATTCTAAATTTCAGTTTTCTTTTTCTAACACAATTTGACTTTCTCTTTTCTTGGAAACTTCTAACTTGGTTCGCCCTTACTTCCTTAGCCCCTCAACTCAAGCACTCAAACCGACCCAAACCGACTCAAACCAAACAAGTTGCTTTTTCCTGACACAGGGTCGGTTTCGGTTTCATTTTCAGGCAACCCGACCAGGTCGGGTTAGTTGGAAAAACAGAAGTAAAATGACCCAACCCGACCCGTGAATAGCCCTAGCGAGGGGTCCAAAGGAAGTCCTGCAAGGACAAAGGTGTCAGAGGCCTCGGGTGGGTATCCGAGGTGAGAACTCCGACGATCAAGTTAGTACGAACATAAGGAGAGTCCGAAATCCAAAACCGAAGGGTCCAGACGAGGACTTAAATAACACTTAAATTCTCCATAAGGCAGTAGCGTTCGAAGATTACTCAAGCTCTGGAGGAAGTTCAGAGAGTATAGCCCTTTACCTTGTCGGAGGTGCTTCACATTTATAGTCGGAATCGCCTGGGAATAATTGGGCCTGGATGGTCCAAGTACGAGCCATACGAGGACCTGGCGAGATTATTTGCTAGAGCCTTGCGGCGCCCCTGGATTGGGTCCGTCCGGTCTGAGCCCTGAGTGTCCTTATTGTATGCTCAGACTGGTGCCCTCGGGTTGGACAACATATGTGGTAATTGTTATTGCATTCAAAGGCAAAACCAACCATGTTGTCGAACAAAAAGTGAATATTTTTATTTTCATTTGTTTTTTTGTAAATTGTAATTGTCGCATCATTTGTTTTTTGTAATTGTAACATCATAAGAAAACAAGTTCATGTTATTGAAATGCGTTTTTGTTTCAAACAGAAAAAGCAAGGCAGTTTTGTTTAAAAGAAATCATGTTTTTAAATTCAGCAAAATGATAGTTTTTAGGAAAAATAACTATATTTAACCCACCTCAAAATCCTGACCGTGGATTAATGTCAAATTAACGAGAATGACGTGGTTTATTGGGGGGCTACTAGTAGAATATGGGGGCTGTATTTTCAGAATTCTGCTGCGGACTGCAATATATTTCTACATAATTTTTAAAAGGAAAACAAATGTTGAAAGAGTATGACTAAAGAAAGGTGATAAGACACATTGTACGATTTAAAATGAAAACATGACTTTCAAATTTAAAAAATCAAGAAACATGTAAAAAAAAAAAAAAAACACATTTACAACTTGAAAACAGGTTTTCTATATTTCTTTTAAGAAGCAGTGAAAATAAATTATTTTAATTTATTTTTAAAACTCACAACAAGAAAAATAGTTCATATTGCCAAACACCCCTCTAAGCCATCACAATAAAAACTCAGATGACTGCCATGCTCAAGGCAAGACTCTCACCTCCTGGTCAAAGGTTATTAAGAGCAAAAATTGTAAATTCAAAACTAGTAAATTAAAAAAAAAAATTCAAGGCTCCTGTCTCCATATAAAGATATTAAATACCCTCTCAATTATCAAAGATAGGCCTCCAATATCAATTCCAATCCCTTTCAATCTTAACTTTTCAAGTATATAATCACCGGAAGAGAAATCAAAGCAAAAAGAAAAAAAAAAAGAAATTTAATAAATTTCTAGGTCTAATTAAGACCTTGTGGAGTTATTTTCGTAGTTCTAGACTTTATGAAAGCCAGATAGCCAAACGCATTTATTACTCGTGAGTTGGAAGCCTTGTTGTGACTTCCACACCCCATCTTCCTTCACTCCACCCTCATTAATACCTCACTCCCCATTAAAAGCGTTGTTTTAATTCTAACAACAATAATTACGGAGGGGTCCCACTATTTATACTACACCACATTGGCGCACGTTACTATCAATCAACTAACATAATGCACATCCATTCAATGTATTGGTCGCACTCATTAAAGCTTATAAAGTCCCCCGCATTAATAGCTCTCGTCGCTACGCACCACGCGTGTGAAGTTGCGCGTCGCATTGATTGCCGACCGGTCCGAGACTTGACACGTAGGAGATTTTTAAGAGCATTTATTGCGTGGGACCCGGTTCAGCTGGAGAGACATGTGGCGTGTTGTGGTTAAGGAGAAAGCCTTGTCAGCGTCAAAGGTTAGCTGCTCTCTCTCTCTTGCCCTCATTTAAATAAATAAATAAACGCTGACGTGGTTGTGGAGAAGCTTTTAAATTGCGTGAGATATATCTTAATTAGAACTGACGCAGAGATGATATCATCAATAACGCTGATTGCAGGTGGGATCTGGCAAGTGATCGTCCAAGAGCGAGGAGACGCGCTGAAGTAGGTTTCATCATCCCTTTGTTTGCCGTGTAAATTAGAATCTAGTTCCGATTTTGAATCCATTTGTTTTTAATTTCAGAAAAACTTATGATGCGAAAAAGAGTTTTAACCAATTAAAATTTATTCATGAATTTTAATAAATAATATCTTACTCGTTACCATGTTTATGATTTCAATTTATCGATCAATTATTTTTCAGATATTATATTTTTTCATATCATAGTCAAAATTTCATTTGTACCGGTGTAAAATGCATAAGAGTGTAAAAGGGTTGAGTGTAAATTCCGATTGACTGTTGCTTAAGACTTGACTTGTCTTATTTATTTGTAAAAGTAAATTGAAATAACCTTAACTTTAAATGTCAGAGAATGGAGCGTAGGAGGCTTATTTGCCTAGAAATAAGGTACAAAATACAGGATGATGTGGTCCCTGCTTTAAATGAGAAACAGTTGAGATAGGAGGAAGATGATACAAATTTTGTATCAATTTTTGAGATGCAAAAATTACACTGTCAATCAGTTCAAAAAATAAACAGTAGAAAAGAAAAGAAAGATAAAAAGATAAAAGTTCAAATTTTGCATCAAGCAGGAATACAAATCAAAACTGAAGTAGGTACAAATTTTGCTACTAGTTAGGATTTTGCACTACAATTAAATGCAACCTTCCCTATTCGTTTTGCCGTAAGTGGAGGGTAAGTTGACCAAATATTGAAAATTACAAGTCCCATCATAAATCTATTTACATTCCTATGTATTTACGTCAATGCAAATGAAATTCACATTGCAACAAAACAATAGCTTAGGTAATTGGACTTGAAAATCAGCCATAAAATCAATGATGAATCATATCTTTTAAATTCAAAAGCAAAATCAAAGCAGATATAAATTTTGCACCACCCAGTCAAGATTTGCAATACAACCAATAAACCAAATGCAACCTTACAAACAAACAAACAAAGCTAAAGTCAAATCTAAAGAAAAGGTATACAGTCCATTTGCACTCTTATGCTTTTACACCAGGTCAAATGAAATTCGCACTGCAACGAACGAAGCGTTGGGTAATCGGGCTTGAAAATCAGGCCTGAAACCGAGACACCTATGAATCATACCTTTTAAATTTTGAATTTCCCATAACACCCCCCAAGGGCTGCCTCAATAATTGACAAAGATATTCCGTCCAAAGTACAAAGTTACCTTTTCTTAGCCTTCAAAAAAAAAGAAGAGATAAAACCTTTTCTTAGACAGGTGGTACAAAGTTACCAACTGAAGTTGGTAATTTTATGGACGAGATCCAATAATGATTGTTTCTTATAGGATTGGAATCCATTTGGCATCAACATCCATTGGATGGTGTGATGGTAATGATCCACTTTAGCTAGATTAAGATAGATGCCAATCTAAAGATCCAGATTCCAGAGGTATATTATTTCCATGACGACCTAAAAAGGCAGAATGTTAGGGACAGGTAGGACCCACTAAATAACGAGAACAGCAGAGAAAATCTGACCGTCAGATAGATTATAAAATAATCCTATGACCCATTAATTGATGCACATGATACATTAATCAGGTTGACCAATAAAATCATGACTATCTGTTTGAAATGTATCAAAATCAGACTTTTCTCGTTCCTAATTTTAACCCATTTATGATCTATTCCTTCATTTACAAAATGAAAACAGAATTTTAATAATTAACAAAAAAAGGAAAAATAAATCCTAATTGTATCTATGATATCTTCATCTGTTTTGTGATTCTGTCATTTAATCTTTTTTTATGCAGCAGCGTTGAGATCGATTCTGGGTTTCTTCAGAACTGGCGAAGGAACGACGGAATCGCAGCGCGGGCATTTCGGGTTCCTCTTAGAAATCAGAACGTAAAGCAGGCAACCTGGGCATCCAGCGGCGAATAATCGTTTCTCATCATCGGTTTCGTCCTCGTCTCTGATCGATGGGGATGATAGAGAACAACGAACAGGAGACGATGAGGAGCCATCAGTGGAGCGGGAGCGTTTCTTAACGGATTCTTTCTCTGCTCTTTCAAGCGCGGATTTTACCTTGTCGAGAGTGCAGACGCTCTGGTAATCGTAAGCAGGGTTAAGCTTCAGATCCAAAGATGTGTCTTCGAGTAGATTTGAAGTTGATGATGGAGGGAAGTGATTGGCAGTCGAAGACGTTGATGATGGAGGGAAATTCAAGTCTTGAAGACCTGGAACTGTTCGATTCTGTTGCTGATGCTTATATTCAGACGACGATGATGAGTTGGGTGAGTTGCATCTCTGAAGGTAAATTTTTCCTGACTGCAATGGAAAACAGAGAGATGGGTTTGATCAGAGAATCGCAAAAGCAATCAGAAGTACAGAAATTTAGTATTTTGCACAAGTACGAGAAACAGAGAGGAATTGCTTTTGCTTGTTCTAGAGAAGAAAAAGAGTTTAATTTCTGGAGAAGGTACAAGTTTGAAGCTCAGAGAGAGAAAAGAGAGACAGAAAGTAGATGAAGAAAAAGGGTGTCAGAGAAATAGCTAAAAAAGGAAAAAATTTATTATTAATCAAAATAACAAAACCTTGAGGAATCGAAGTTCAGAACTCAGAGGATATGGAGTTGCAGAGAGAATAGAAGGATATATAATTAAAATAATATTAGCGTTTAAAAATAATAACCATCACCATTGAAGGGCGTCGATATATGACACTTCAAAAAATAAAATAAAATAAGTCCAGGATCACTAATTAGGTTTCTGAAATCCAAACCTCAGAAAAAAAAAAAATTAAAAAAACAGAGAAAGGGCATCGAATTCGTGCTTTAAATCAAAAGAATCACAAGAAAAACATTAGAGAAGAAAGATTGATCAGAAACCAAGAAAAAAATTACATACATGAAATTTAAACAAAACCAACAAAGAAGGGCATTAAAATTCATGTTACAAAACAGAAGAATCACAAGAAATTCATTAAAGAATCAGGGTTAATCCGAACCCCAGAAGTACCTTCAAATCAAGACGTTTTTCCCAGCCATTAGGGACCTGCAAATCGAGATCCAATTCAGTGGAACCAAGCTTCGAAGAACATCCACCAAGCAAATCCCTGGTAATCAACACCTTCGGCTTCCCACCACTTCCTTCGCTGCTCTTCATCTGTTCTTCCTTGTAACCGCTCAATATCCGTACCAAAGAACTCACGTCGGCCGCCATGATCGGACTTCTCAAACCGTCCCAAGGCGCAAGAAACCAGAGAACCCACAAAGAAATAGAAAAAGCAAAAGCAAAAGCAAAAGCAAAGTCTCCAGAGAGAGAGAGAGAAATGACGATTTGAAAATCTGAAATGCGGAATAAAATTATTAAATAGAGCAGGAAGAACAGTAAATGGAATCCGTTGGAAAAGATTATTGAGAGAGAGAAAGGGAGCTGTCAGTAATGGCGGCAATTAATGCTTTCAAGTACTAGTTGGGTTTCATGGGCAAAAGAAAAAAAACTCACTGCCTTTTCGTCTAATTCAGAAAAAATTAAATAATAATTTCTGTATTTATTGATTATTTATTTAATTAATTATTAGTTTCTCTGCGTCGCGAGAATCTCTCTCGTTTTTGTGCGCACCTCTTTTGTTCCTGCAATTAAAGCTCCCCTGATACGCTATTTTACGCATTTAATTCTAAGACGACTCTCTCTCTCTCTCTGTCACAGACTTTTTCTACCACTTATTTGAATCTTATCTGGAGGAAGTTACTGATTTGGCATTATGCATTAAGTATGGTGGATTTTATATCTCAAGATTCTCAACCAGGGGTGGATGTGGTTCAGTACTTGAATTCATGTTTGGTAGTGTCATATCCAACGTCAGATATATCTGGCGTGTTATTCCAGGTGGAGGTGATTAGATCTCAACCGTGCATCATACCATTGGATGTGGGCCATTTGCGCAGGTGTTTGGATCTGCTTAAGGATTAGAGTCAAACCCCCCACAACCAATAGGGTGTAGGTTAAGGCGCTGAGGGTAAGTCTGGGATTGATTTGGCCTTTTTCCTTATTTTTTGGTTTTTTTAATTTGAGATATCAGTGACTGTGATCTGTGAGTTTCATCTTCAAGTGATTTGATACATTCTGATTCACAGTACTTGGACTCAGCTTATTATATCAAAGAAAAATAAATAAAAAAAAAGGACTCGGTATATTTGGAAGTGTAACCGACTGAGTCATTTAATTCATTTACTGACCAAAATTAAACAGTCTTATTATGAGGAAGAGAGATGTGTAGCCCATATTTATCAGAGATAGGAAAAATGGATTTCAACTTGGCCTTATTTATGAGCTTTCTATTCAGAAACTACTGGCGAGTGGCGACTTGTTGATGAAACAGGAAGCTAATTTCTCTGTTTTTTTTTTTAACTAATATATGTGATATCCCATTTTTTCATGATGTACTTTGATAAATATATCAACATGACCATTATTTCCTTAAATACCAGGTCTCTCTTACAACGAGTAAGAGAGCCTCCTCGTTTCCTCCTAATTCATATTAAGAGGAATTTTTTAATTTTAAATATGAATTTACATATTAATTTAAAGGTTGGGTTTTGTTTAAACCATTCGAACCTCCAGGCCATTTGAATCATTCGAATTATTACGGTTAGGTTTTGTTAAAACCCGTTAATCAGTCAAAAATCATTTAACCTGGCCGATTTAACGGTTGACCCATTTGATCCAGTTATAAATTGCACACTTAATGTATATCAATTTTTCAAGGCCATAATTCTTTTACTCCAATGTCTATTTGGGGTGATCTTTTATATGATTTTTTACTCTAATGTCTCCTTACCTTGCTATTTTTTTTTGTGAAAAAACCTTTTTTTGGCTTCAAATCGTAATTTTTAATATTTTTTATAAATAAAAAATTAAAAATTGAATTAAAAACATAACTAAATATAAAATAATACATATAACATATCCAAAACATAATTATACATTATTTATTGATAAAATGTGTATTTGTACATACATATATATGTATGTATGTATGTATGTGTGTATGTATGTGTGTATACTTTAAATACATAAATGATGATGTGGCATGGTCTGACCCACTTGACCCAGACAAATTGAACTAGTGGCCGCGATCTGGAGGAAAATACTGTTAAGGTTGGTTTTTAAAACATTGCTTTGAATAACTTTTAAAATAAGGGAAATTGTCCAACCATTAATTTTTCCGAAATTTCTTAAACCCATCACAACTTTTCAAAACGTCAAAAACTCACCATCTCAGTAAGATAACAGTAACTTCACTAACAGATATCATTAATTTACCATTTTACCCTTTATTATTTTCGGTCAATTTTGTAATACCAAAATTACCTGTCGTTATTCAACCCAAAACCCAAGCATTAGCCGCTGCTTTCTTCCTCCTTCAACCGTTGCTTCCCTTTTATTTGAGATTGAAGAACAGGATGCGTCTCTGAGAAGAACAGTCCGCAACTCCCCCGTCTCCTTTTTGATGAATGATTTGGATTGATTATATGATCCCCATGTGTCTGATAAAGGCAGATCTCTAGATGGGTGGGAATTCCCTAACTAACCCAATTTGGGCATTAACCTCTTTTAACATATTGTAATTGTTTGTAATTGATAAAGAAATTAAAACAGCAAAGATTATATAATAATCAAACTGTAGAAAAGAAATGGATTGGAATTTAGAACTTGGAAAAAAGATGGTTTATTTTATATGGATTCCATGGTTTGATGTGAGAGTTAGATATCTAGTCGTTGAGATTTGTTGAATGATGAATAGTCAACTACCTGCTCTTGTAGAAAAGGTACCTCCAATTGATTGCATATGTTGATATCCGTCGGCCCCATCAAAATTTTAATAAAGGAGATGCATTTAGGTACCTTCCCACTTGAGAGCCATCACAAATTTAATAAAGGAGATGGTTGGTCAAAGAGAGAGAGAGATTTATCCAGAAAATAATCACCAAATTCCTTACCAACCAAATTAATTATTAAATAAATTTGTTTATGCTGATGTTTGGATGCATAGTTTGCTACCTTCATTTGGGTGAACATGTATTGTGTACTCAATGATCGAGAACCTTTAAATATGGTAATGATATAAAAAAAAATAATGTTGGGATTACAATTGGATGCCACCTTAATTTTTTGGTAATTCAATTAGATACCACATGAAATCATTGTATATCATGGTTTTAAAAAACAACCTGAAAATGTAACTGTTTTGACCATCGGTTTTTGGGTTAATGGTTCAATTGTTTGATTTAAATAGATGGTTCGTTCTTCTGACAATAAAAATTAAAAAAATAAAAAAATAACTAAAAATTAGAAATGGCTAAAAACGTTGAACGTATTGACAGTTTGACCGCCTAGGTCAATGAATCATTGACTGATTCAACAGTTTTTAATCAGGAATTGTGTTTGGATAAAATGGAACCGGTTGCCTAGATGGTTTCCGGGCCAAACGATCCGACTGCGCAGGTCAACGGCGGTTCGAAAACCATGTTACATATAGAAAAAAAAAAGAAAGAAAGAAAACAAAGAGTTGAGGAAAGAAAAAAAGGTGAAGAAGCTTGAATCCTCAGTATAACAATGAATAAGAGATCATCAGGAAACAACGAATTATGCGACACTTGGGAACGTTGCTCTACAGAGATAGTGGAACCCATTGGATGTTCATCTGTAGGGAGATTTTTGGCATAGTTGAATGCCCCTGTTCTTAAACTTAACTCCAGTCGTGCCTTTAGTCACAAGAAAACCATTTGTCTAAAGCCCCAAGACTTCTTTTATTCAGGGTAAATTGCTGAAACCTCTCTTGAAGTTTCTGATCATTGCTGAAACCTCCCTTTAGTTATTACAATCAATTCCCCTGAACACTGGGATATTACTACAAGTAGAACCCCTTTGGTAGAATCTTCTAAAAAGAGGTATGAAAATGTCAAAAATACTTATACAATTACTATTGAGGCTGGTTTCTATGAAGGAATTGAAGGGATGAGAGATCCATCATATGGATGGCTGAACCCTGCAGGAAGGTTGGGTGAAATTTCAAAAAATTTCTCTCTCTGCTATGTGGGAATCACATTCCCTATTTTAGAAAACTGCATTTTCAAGAATCAATCTTGAACCTAAACCAGACCAGATCTAAAACCAAAAGGGAGTTGAGGGACATACCTGATACGAAGTAGTAATAACCTCCAATGAAGGTGTTCACGCCCAAGGAAAGATCCAAAGACTGCTTGCACCGAAGATGACACGGTACATGATGAAGCAGAATCAACAGGATGGTTCTTTAGCAAGAACCGAATTATTCAGCAAGAATCTGATGGAGGGCTAGTGAGCACGACTTCAGATTACCTTTTCTGCCAAAAGGTAATATCAAGAACTCTTCTTGATCACTCCCACAGGTGGAGATCGAACTGGTATGGCGGCAAGAGCAAGAGAGAAGGAGACAGAACAGTCAAATTATGTTGTCTCTCTCTGGAAATCAGCAATCAGTCAGATGATTTATGTTGTGTGTTGAGGGTTCGCCTGCTCTCCTATTTATAGCCTTAAAGAGAGGTTCTCCTAATCCCATTAGAAGTTTCCTAATCCAAATCTTGTATTTGGATATGGACTCTCTTTAAGAGATAAAGATAATCCCTTATCTTATCTACAGATAAAGATCAACCCTCCTAATCTAATTAGAAGTTTCCTTATCTAAATCTTTATTTGGATCTGGACTCTCTGAGTGGATAGGGATAATCTAGTATCCTATTTGCTGATCTAAATCACAGAACCGCCCCCTTTTAATTAATCTCATTAAGCTAGTTCGAATTGGGCTTTAGGCCCATTTAGTCTATTTGCTCACTTACCCTCCAAACTGCTGCCCAGTTGGATATCCTTGTATGGCGTGGGACCCAAACATTGATCTACACATAAGCCACATGGGTTCAGCCCTGCCTTTGTTACAAGGCCAGGCCGAATTCACTATAGGAGACAGTGAACCCCTGATGGGCCCAACATTTACACTAAATGGTCATTGGGTCACGCCACCTTATAAAAACCCAAGGACTATGGGCAGATGCAAGATTAGCCCATCAGATATTACCCTCAATAGTCTTACACTTAACCTCTCAGCCCATAATGATCAAACACTGCCTGACAAGAGAGGACCTCTCCCTCGGCTGCAAGGTACAGTGTTGCACTCTCTACTCACATGGATCACAGGAATTAAAACCTTTTGCAAACATTTCGAAAACCATAATATATATATATATATATATATATGTATATCTTTATATAAATATATTTTA